AGATCGTAGTGTAGACAATCTAATACCGGAGATTTGTCCCGGCAAACCATCTTCAGCTTTTGCCAGATTTCCCACTCTGTGGTAAGACACTCGTACCCAGCCACTTCAGCCGCCTCGAGGCGGGAAATTCGGCCAAATAGGCGTCGAACTGAGCAGTGCTCGGACCGGACTCCCTGGTGAACAGATCCTGAAAGTAGTCGCTAAAAGCCTCACACAAGACCACGTTTGCAGTCCGATTATCCGGCTATGTGACGAAAGCGACGTCGACGGGAAGAATTTCTAACTTTGTACGCAATTCAGTGGCAATATTCGTCGCCTCAGAAGACATTCTTTTTAACCGAGTCTTAAGTACAAGAGCTTGATTCTTCTTGATAAGGAGGCCAATTCTGCCCTAGCTAAGATTACGTCCCCACTATCACGAGATATAATCGCCCGATCAACCTTTCCTCACATACCGTTTGCGTTGCTAATCTAACTAGATTGAATCGACGGCTATAATCATCAGCAAACGCCCTAACTTAGGATTTTAATTTATCCCACCAAATATTTCCAACCACAGCTCCCGTCATTTTCTTAGCATTTGTAGCATCTGGTCATGTAAATCTTGCTCACAAGATAATGATGAGTTCAATTTTCAATAGCCAGCCATCTTAACATTGGGCTTAAAATAGAGTTGAGTTACTAAAAGAAATTCACTGATACTGAGATATCAAAAAAAAAAAAAAAAAAAAAAAAAGAAAGAAAGAAAAAATCATGGCACGCGGAATTAGCAGTTACGACTAAGTAGTGAGTTTCATCCTGATAGAGCGCCCCATATTTGCAGCCTTGTGTCTCATCTAAGCTACGCTTAGAAGATCCCTACGTGTCATGAAACAGTGTGTTTGGCTGTAAGGCCGGGATACACAGGCAACAATTTCGTCTTAAGCCAATTTCTAAAAGATGAAATATTAAATTGAAATATTAGCAAATGAATAATAAATTCTTATTCTAGGATGGAATGCAAGAAAAAACCGTAAGTTCTATTCTAATAGTTTCTTCAGTCGCACTTCTGACCCGGGGAACTCTCTTTTCAGATTCTTGCTTTCCTCTCAACTACAATCTTCAAAAATGTAAATGCAACGTCAATCGTCATCTTCTGTCGTTTTGAAACTTGTTCTTTTAACAATCCCTCTCAATAACCCCGCCTTGCGTTTTCGTATCACCCTAATTGAAAGGTGTGTGCGTGTGTGTGTGTGTGTGTGTGTGGGGGGGGTGAAATGATTAAAAAATCTTTGCTTATGAGAATCTTGTTTCCGAATGCCAAAATCAAGTTCAGACCTAAAACAATGAATATGACATCATTGTTTTAGTTTTCTTTTTAAATATTCTAGTAGAATTTATTTAATCGTGATTTTAATATCACCGTTTTCTCATTTAGAAAAAAAAAAGAAACCTGTAAATAATTTAATGTTTTATTTACATTATTCGGACTATTGTCCTCATCTTTGTCGCCATATTTATTACAACGTTTCGGCCGTTGTACGCTCCGGCCTTCTTCAGGTGGTTGGGATGTCCAGGTTGTTGGATAGGAAGAGGGGGTCCGATTCTTTGGTCCCCTTGTTCCCCAGAAATAACACCCAGGAACATTTTCTTTTGGGGATTTACGAAATATATTGTGTACCGCACTAAAGTAAAGGACTTGAATGACCTTAAGCAACGAATAACTGCCGCCATTGCGACTAATGATGAAGGCATATTAAGAATGACATTGAATATTTTTTAGATGACCTTTGTGCAACGACTGGGGACTATATAGAAATTTATTAACTATTTCAATATTTACTTCATATTATAGAAACATTTTAACAGCATCCAGTTTCCATTTTAATAATTTTTTTCTCTTGTATTTATAATAATTGCTTACTTGGTGTATTTATAATGCTAACACTTGGCTAAAAAATAGTGTTTGAGATTAGAGACCCTTATCACTGATTTTATTATTAGAATGGCATACTAGAGATCTAGCGGACATATTTGTATCGCGGCTTTTTGCTTTCCGCTCTGATTTCCCCAGCTAGATAATCATCTTTTCATAAATCCGGCTGGAGTCTAATTATTCCATTTTGATGAATCACCGTTCTATATAAAATAACTTTTTGAAAAACTTCAATCGTTACAGGTCAATGATCCTTACTTTAATGAAAGCATAATCAAAATTCATCTTAACCATGCATGGCATTTTCAGTCCCTCAACGCCTAAGAGCAACTCAAGGTAGTGCATACAGGGTGCAAAACGTGCATATTATGAGGGTATGTAAGAGAGATGACGGGAGGTCTTACTCAGAATAGGCGTCTGCAAAGTGTTGAAACACCTTTGAAGGTCGTCCTGATGTTATATGGACCACAGACCTTTTGTGTTTTTTCCGATAATCCTTTCACATAGGGCAGGCAGACTGAGACTGTCTTATGAGTGTTGTTATCCCCTTGTACCATTCTATCCCAGTTAGTGGGAGCTGCTGTCATGTACGATGAGAACATGATTAAGGACTGTGTGTACGCCATCCCATGCAGCTGTGGTAAGAAATATAAAGGAGAAATAGACCGCCACCTTAAGGTAAGATTGCAGGAACACCGTAAATCCGTAACAGGAGGAGAAATAAAAAAATCAGGCATAGCTGACCACATATGGAGGGAAAAGGGAGATCACTGCCCAATGCGGGTTGAGGTTGAAATGATAGAGAACATAAGTGGAAAATACAAAAACTTAAGGAATCAGCGAATATCCTGAGCCACAAAAATCTCCTAAGCTGGCCAAGCATAGACATGAATACTATGTGAGAACCAGTAATACGGGGTGCTAGAGAAAACAACAATAACAACAAATTATAATATGAGCTCAGGTAAAAATAATTCTGGAGGATTAAGTCCCAAAAATGAATTCACTGATCTCTTCGAGGACGCATAGCCCAGCAGATAAAAGCGTTGGTGACGTAACCCAAAGAGCTGTGAGCTCAATACCTGGCAGAATTGAACAAAATCCTGGGGAGTTAAGTTACTAAAGGAAAATCACTGAAAGTGAGATACCCCAAAAAGGCACGGTACGTGGAATTAAAACCCCATTGGACGAAATAAAGGGTTTGGTTCGAAATTCCAACGTATATCACCTGAAGGCCGGACAATGTAAACAGTGTAAATAGTTACAATATCTCAGGAATATAGACAGATGAGGAAAGAAGCTGTCGGAGTGGAACTTCCTTCTCACTAATGGAATATGAAGAGAATGAAGATGAGTCGACTCAATGTATGTGACGTGTCCTAGCTGTGAAAGTCGGAACCAAGGAATATAATTCATCCGCACATTTTCAATGAAAGTAATTATAGGGCAGCAAGAAGCCACCAGCATTTCGTTTTTGAACTCGAGATTGGAAAGTAAGGATTGGGCAACCCCAGCCTTGATGTGGTAGCAATAATTCATTTTTGGTTTGATCTGGCTCTTCTAAAGATAGAGTATAGCACAACGAACTATAGAAGGAAGAGACCATTTTCTCAGAATCTTATACGATGGATCGTATATACCGGTACCTCTTGAGGTCTGGAATCTTATACGATGGATCGTATATACCGGTACCTCTTGAGGTCTGGAATCTTATACGATGGGTCGTATATACCGGTACCTCTTGAGGTCTGGAATCTTATACGATGGGTCGTATATACCGGTACCTCTTGAGGTCTGGAATCTTATACGATGGGTCGTATATACCGGTACCTCTTGAGGTCTGGAATCTTATACGATGGATCGTATATACCGGTACCTCTTGAGGTCTGGAGTGGGCTTGAATCCCCGTAGGCGTTCCAGACATTGGGAGTACAACCTTTCATCACAACTGGAGAAACCTTATGATCTCCCTGTTCTTTTGTGGGTATGTTATAAGTCAGTTCCTTTTTCATTGGGCTGTGCTAGCAAGATCAGATAAAACATCAACTCTTGTCATCATTTGCATATATATTTACTACCTGTCAATATTTCTGAGAGTTATTGTAACTATTTACACTATTTACATTATTCGGACTGTTGTCCCCATCTTTACAGTCGCATTTACGACTGTTCGGTCGTTGTACGCTCCGGCCTTCTCACAACTCTCTGTCCTCGGGGACACATGGCCCAGTGAATAAAAGCGTTGGTTGAAGAAATCCAGTGACTTGGCCCAAAGAGTTGTGAGTTCAATACCTGGCCACAGCAGAGCTGAACAAAAACTTGGAGAATTGAGTTACTAAAGGGAAATAACTGAACCTGAAAGATCCAGAAAATGCATGGAACTAGAACAATCTGTCCCGGTGGACGAAATAAAGGGTACGGTTCGAAATTCCAACGTATTTCAACTGAAGAAGGCCGAAACGTCGTGAATATGACAATAAAGATGTGGACAATAGTCTGAACAATGTAAATAGTGTAAATATATATTTACTAATTATCTGAGAACGTTCTTAGGCAGATTGTTAACATATAGTAGAAAAAACTGTAGAACCCAGGAGAGGACCTGGATGGGATGGGGTCGCCTCCATTTCAAGGACTTCGGAGGACTACCCATTAACAACAACCTTCGTGGACCTACCAGACAAAAAGGGCAATAATCGTGAAGATTCTCCCAGAAATCTTATAGCTGGAGAGCATGTATAGCAGTCCCTCTATGCCACACCTTGTCAAAAGCTTTATTATCAAGCGCTTTTCCGAGTTTATGTGTAATGATAGCTAAGACCTCGGGAGTGGACCTAGAGAAGTGAAATTCATATAGTTTTACGTTCAGAATATTGTTACTGATAAGGAGATTCCAGATGATAGCCTCAAAAATGTTGCTGATGACAATAGGGTAATCAAATCTGCCTACTCTTAAGTGTTTGTTAATGTACAACTTTGGCCGTATCAGACAGTTATTTTCCAAGGCTGAAGGTACTGCCTGTCTTGATTGGGTTTTGGGCTGGACGTCGCCCGCCTCCAATAGTGAAATCGAAGTAGTACTATCTCAGGCAGAAAACATCAAGAAGTCATCCTCAGCATATATCGACGACCTCTTCATAAATGAAGATATCTCGTTCGTAAATCGGGTTGCGGAACATTTGCCCCGCTTTGGACTGACAAGGAAAGACCCGGAACGGCCAAAAGATGAGGCATGGGTTACTTGGCTTGACTGTCTGGAGGAAGGATGGCGATGCGCTTCCAGACGTCTCTGAATGGGACACCAGGAGAAAAGGTGTTACAGGCTTGTCGGACACATTCCAGTATCTGGATAATTGCGGGTAGCGTCATCAAGCGAAGATCAAACGCAGTAACGAATGGTTGCGGTGATCAAACGAACGATGTCCCATTTAAAAGAATGCTAATAGAGTTAATCCAGATTAAGAATGCTAATAGAGTTAATCCAGATTAAGAAAATACACCTGCACTACATACATCCTGGTGTTAGTGCAGTGAAAGAAATAATCAGCTACCTCGAAAAAGAGTTTGTGTTTTGTGTGCGATCTACCGAAGAAAAATTACCAAAAAGTAGTTCGCAAAAATCTACTTTAAGGACCAGAATTTATGCTAATGTTCTTCCCTCCACTGAATGGTGTGATCAATCAGAAAGATTTCTTCTCGGTGAACAAAAGCCGTTGTTTTTCGCTGATGCGGATTAGATTATCTGAGCTTGGTGGGCGAACACGCGTTTTGCTGGTGAGAAGTGAACGTTGGATGTGTGACCCCCATTTTGTTGTTTCTATGTTGCCTGTTGAACTGTTACGACGGACTATCGTTTGAACTGTGATTTGGCTACAAGTGTTGCGGTCGAGAGACAGAAGAAATCTACTGTTTGTTGACATTTTTTTCTTTTCTTTACAACTACAGTTAAACAAACAACCTACTCCGTTGGGAAGGTCGCCCCATACACGACAAAAGTGGCTATCAGATCGGCATTTAGATCATCTTTGGAATGTGTTGAAGCTTGGATAAGCATGGAATAATAATAATACAACACAAAATGTACGTAAACAAAATGTATTGAAACAAGGAAAAGGTACACGATATTTACAGTTAGTTTTGGTATATTCTTGGGAAGACTGTTCCTGTAGAATGGGTTGACTTAATCGCAGTCGGGCAGAGTCTCTGGATTGGATCTCTTGTTACTCCCCTCGTCTTCCCGGTACCAACCCATATTTATATGGTCGGTACTCCAATATGTAAATTAGGTGGATCGTACCATAACAGAATGTCAATCAATAGATCCAGCATCGATCCGATAGTGGGGGGTGGGAAACTGGATACAGCAGGTGTATGGCAAAGACTTTGGGATGGACATCAACTATTATAGAGGCGCCATTACTTGAGCCTTATAGACTATGAGACTTTCCGATTTACTATTTAGAGGATTCTGTTAGCACGAGAGGATTCTGTTGCTGTAATCCAGCATCTGATGGCAATCTTTCTTGAAAGAGGTCCACCCGAGAAGATCCTGACTGACAACGATAAAACATTCAATAGCAGGAATTTCAGGACATTTGCTGAAGATTGGGGCATCCACCTGAGATTCCGATTCGCACATAATGAACCATAAAGCGGATCTCTGCCTGGAAGCAATGCTCTTTCCAGGAAGCGGTGTACTGGCACAAAATTACACCAAAAGATGGTGTTCAGTGAGACTGCCTCAGCCAATGCGTTTGGGTGAAACGTGTTGATAACATCGCGCACTGGAGGCTGAAACTTGACAGGAAATATATAAAAAATGGAGATGTCGTGATGGTAAAAAATCATCCAATAGATTCATGAGTAAATATAGAAAAGGAACAGTAACCGGAATTTTGAGTTCCCAAGCAGTCTACGTAGGAAGAATACCGTCCCACGTGAGAGATCATCGCCATCTCCCTCACGTAATGGAAGACGCTGTGGAGGTTGAGGTCACCACATCAAGTGATGATGGAATGTGTTGACCAATGGTGGATGACGAGGACGACGGTTCAACTGCTGATAACTCTGATCAATCTAGCCGGGGTGATGGCGAAGAGGATCAGTGGGTTGTAGCAGAAATTGTTGAAGAGGCGAGTGAACCTCTTATACCAACACTTTGGAGAAGCACCAGTCATAGGAGGCCTCCCACCCCGGCTGCTATCTATGTGATCATAAGATCGGAGGGGGGTATTTAATGGACATGGCCTATCTCTCCGACGAAAGAGGCACAAAATCGCCAGAGCCATAAATTACCGCGTGTTTTAGAACTAATTAAATACCTGTAGGTTGGTGTGAAAAATATCTGCATAAATGACTGAGGCAGATTTTGTCTGTGGAGCGAGAAGGATTACGGACGTGTTTTGACTTTTTCAGAAACGTAAAGAATATTTGCAGCTGGTACTTTGGTTTATACTTACAAAGAACTTTCTTGAAACAAAAATAGTTTTACTAAGTTATTTTCACTTATTTTTCCTTTATTCTTTTGTTTGAATCGAATTTTTTATTTTCTTTCTTTTTCAGTTTTATTTCAGTTTTCACTTCGGCAGCCATTTGTAATTTTTTTCTTCTGATGTCAGTATTACAAGATAACTGTTTTATTCTGTTCTTTTGTTTAATTTATAGTTTATATTGATTTTTATTACCCCCTCTATTTGAAGAAACTTTTTGTTAATTTTTGACGTTTAGAATTGTTTTTCTTGTCAGTCGTTTATTTTTTTTAGTTGAAACTATTTTCATTCTTTTCTTCGTTGTTTGTGCGAAGATATAAATCTTTTCTTTAAGTTTTACTTGAAATAGTTTGATTTATTTCCCCACCCCATCCCCTTACTACTATATAATTTATCACATTCTGCACATCCTGCTAGCCTTGACCGTTTTTAAAAAAAAAACAAGATGGCCGACAAAATTAGGTCGGTTCGAAAACACTTGTTAGGATCATCCGGTAAAACTGATCCGTCGGACAAAAACGACATTGTGAAATACCCAGATTTAAAGGGATCCAAAAAGAGTATCTCTGTGGAGGCCAAAAATGACCAAAATGTGAGCAGTGAAAAAACTGTGGAGGCCAATAATGGCCAAAATTCAGACAAAGGTGAGTGACAATGGTGAGGCCGGGGAACCTCCCTGATATGGGAAGTCCCCTCACCCAAATGCATTATCAATGTTGCGGAGATTTGGAGCGAGACAAGAGTTATGATCACGTTGTAATAGATGGTGGACTCTTGGAAGACCCCCAAGAACTGAAGAAAATTGAAAAATGAATAATATCAGTCTTTGAGGTGGACAAGCGCTCGCGCAAAATTTGTCGCTTCACAAAAGCCACAGAGAAGATTCAAGGGTTCGTTTTTAACGTGTCGCGTATTGCTACCTACACCGCAAAAGTTCGTAAAAGCTGCCAGTCGAGAGTTAATTTATTTTTGCGAAATACTTTATTTTAAGAACTGATTACAAAGACAGGTGTAGGACCACGTAGCGATATTACAGGTCCTCCCTCCTCGAGTTAACCGAGAGAATCTTGCTGCTTTGCTTTCGCAGTACGGCCAGATACTGGGTGCCTCCTGAGATAGTTTGATTAGAGGGAGGGTGGAGTTTTGAGATCATGTTGTACCGGAAAGCCTCCCTCTCTATCCCTGAATATCTGAACGGAAATTTCCGGTCATTGTAACCGGCTGCAGACCAACTTGCTGGAAATGAGAAGAGATTGGTCACCTCTCCTCTTCTTGCCTAGAGAAGAAAGCTTATGGAAGTCAAACCCTTATCGACCAAAATCCCTTTCTGGGCGCATCTGTAAATTCCGCATCACCTGTGATGAGTATGTCAGCATCCGGGACCGGAGTGGTTAAAACCTCGGTTGGGTCAACCTCACAGCCCACATTCACCGAAAAGCCTTTGCCGCTGCTTGTGCAGTTGTGGAGAAAGAAAAGGGGGAATAGCTGGTTGCTGGTAATGTTAGAGGGAAATGTCAGACAGCTGGATTTCAGTTACTTGAAGAACCAGGACTAAAGGCACGGAGAGAGCCACTCCCTGTACCCGCGTTAAGAGTAACGCCCCGGTCTCAAAACCCACCACGTCGTTTCAATAACTACAAAAGAAGTACAACCCAGGATTCGAGAAGATGGAGAAGATAAAGCTTCTCAAAGCCAAGATAGAAGCCATCTTAAGTCATTCACCATCCAAAATGGCAGCACACCCTTCGAGCTCTATCCCGTTTACCCTGTTGCGAAATCATCGCAAAAATCTCATCTCTTCACTCATCCCCTTGCAAGAAAATTCTGCTCTGTAGAGATCTTAGCCCTTTCCGAAAAAGCTCCTTTCATACCCCATGTCTTATTCCCAGTCCTTCCCTTCAAAAGCATACTGAAATGCCCCCACCTTTCAAAACACAGCGAAGCCATTCTGTGGAGGTTAGGGAGAAATGGAAGAAAACCATTAGACTTAAAAATTAAATTCAGGGGAGGATGTCTTCGGCATTCCACCCTCTCAAGCTGAAAGAACCTGGAATTAATGCAATCGTATCAAAGAACGGAAATATTTATTGTCCATAAGACTATGAAGACTATGAAGACGTAGAAGTCCCACAAAACTTTCCAGGGGCAAAGCGAATTCTGACGGTGATCCGAGTTGGGTCTAGGGCGCGGCAGACGTAGGGTATGGTCGAGGAGGCTATCAAATCATTTAAAATTTCGCCCCCAATTGCCATCATTGAAAATGATAAAATCAACAAACTGGATCCCAGTTTTAGTCCACCCTCCCGCTATAGGGCTTTAAAACTAACATATCCCTGGAACATTAGCGGTCTCTCCCAAGATGTTACTATCAAGAATGAGATGGGCCAAGAGTCAATGAGGGAGGTCGTTTGGTATCATTACGTCTATCATGTTCAAGCCACTTTCCCAACCCTAATCAGACTGATAATGGTTCTCTGGTTAGCAAGTTTGAATGCCCGTGTCTGAGGTCGGAGTCTCGCAGGGAGCGACTCACTCGCGATCTTCGGGGTGGATGTATGTTGTTTACAGGAGACCCGGTTTTCAGCTCGCCACCATGAAGACATTCTGTCTAAAGGTTTTGTCCTCTACTGAGCATGTTTTGATGGACGCTCGAAACGTGTTTTCTGGCTGGTGAGCAAGTCTTTCAAAGCGGTGTTAGATCTTATCTTCGCAAATCCGGCGGGCGGGTTTCGCGTGCTGGATATTACCATGAAAGATAACGCCTTTTTTTTTTTGGCATCGGGGTTTATGCGACCAATAA